TAGATCATTCAAATCGGATACTCCGTTCTTTCAAAAACTCGATTTGTATTTTCTGCATTCTTTGCACCGTATCTCCGAAAGGGCTGGACCTGCCTTTGCCAAAAACTAATCAGCACATCTCCCTATTAATATAAATCGAATGTTTTTTGAAACATTCAAATCGGTTGATCCGTGCGCCCGAAAATTTGTATCCAGACATACTTATACACACACACACATCTATTTTTTCTGAGGTATGCCAAAATGTTCAGAAACCGTCAAAACGTGAAGAAATGTAAAAAAAATTCAATTTCGATTTTTTGACGATTACAATAACTTTAAGGGAAGTTAATAAATAAAATGAATAGTCAAAAAGTAGAAAAATGTTAAATTTTATGAATAACGGTATAAAAAATTTGATCAGATATAATCAGAAAGTAGTAGTAGTGGAAATTAAATATATGGGTACATTTAATTTTATTTATACAGAAGCATTTTTTTTCATAATATTTAATTTGTACGAAATAATTTGTACTAAATGAATTTCAAGTTAGTCCAATAGGTATTTATATCAAGGAAGATTAGATGAGTCTCGTCGAGATCGTGAAAAAGTTGCTATAAATTATGAAAAATCAAATTTTGAGATTTCACATGAATATGGTATTAATTTTCATTAGCAATACTTGTGCCTAAATAAATTATTAGATTTATTTAGGCACACTATTAGATATTAAAATAATTAATATAAAATCTCAAAATGTGTGTGATTTATAGTAATTCAACACTATATGTCGCGATCTTTCAGCCAGATATTTCGAATAATCTCAGAGCTCCTCCCCAAAGTTCCATCCCTTGCATTGGTCCATCGATCGGTGTCGAGGGCGTGCCATCAAAACTACCCCTGTAAGCTCCGAGAGCTTTTGTAATACGACCCTGACGAAAGCTCAGTACTGATAAAATAGCATTTGTACTGGAAACCGGATTTAGGAATTTTAGCACGCTGAATGAATATTTTATATGATTTCAAAAATATATCTTATTACGATTAGTCAAATTCTAAATATGAAGACAGTTGTAAATTAATTCTATTAGTCACAAAAATATTATTTACCGATTTATTGCAATGTATCATAGAGTTCAAATGTAATGTACTTGTCATAATTAAATGACGCATTGAAAACTGAGTCGCAAATTCATCAATCGGGCACAATTCATAAAAATTTTTATTAGTAAATAGAATTGAATAGAATATTTATTTACAAAAAAAAACAACAACATTTGTCATAAAATATACAAGAAAATATTATAATGAAAAATATGTGTGGAATAGAAACAAGAGGTAAAACTGTATCATTTCTAATTATTTCTAGTTCAAGTATTATGTCACGTTTCATTTTACATATTATATTTTTCCCGAATTAAGCTTTTTTAGAATAGCAAGAATACAATGAACTCAGAATTCGAAACGTGTGTTCTATTGTAATGTGAGACCGAAAAATGCATGTAATTTTACACTATTTACGCGCAAAAGACAAAACTCATAAAACATTTCATATATATTTGCATTACTTCTCAAGAAAAGATCTCAAGATTTTATGAGAACCGATTCGAAATTCTTATATCAGCAAATTACAAATTTATAGAAGAATTTTATTTGATATTTTGTTCTGGGAATAATTTGTGATATATGATATTGTTTTGTTTACACTTTCCTGGTGCGCTCAGATTTTAATGATATTGGAAAAAATAATTTAACTAACTAATGCAAAACTAATGCAAAAAAACTATGTTTTTGTTAATTTTAGGCATTTTAGTTTTTAAAAAAATCGATAAAATCTCGCAAAGTTACCTCACTACATAACAGTTGCTAGAAAAATGTATGATTTATTCTTTTTTTTAAAACGTTACAAGATTTCCCTTAACCGACCTAATCAACAAAAAACCTAATTAATTTATAAGTACACCAAATTGGTGTGGGCATTATAATATGAGAAACTATTACAGATTATTAAATTTTGTACTATTTTCTTTATTACAAGTTATGGAAAAACAAATACTGTATTTTCGAAAAGCGCAATTTTCGAAAATTGAAATTTCAATTTCAATTAATTTTTATATTTGAATCTCTTTTCTTAGGACTACAATATTTTGTTATGTTGATTTAGACCAGGTGTACCTGGTGATAAAAGGCCTATTATTATATAAATTTTCATTAAAATTGACATTTTTTTAATATTCTTCTTTGATGTTACCATTGTTCTTTGTCTAAAACTAATCAGCACGATTTCCAAACAATATCTTTCGAATAGTTTTGGAATTTTTAAATTAGATTCAGGATGTTTGGTTAAACGTATACAAAAAAATTGCAAATCCTGCAAATTCTAAAATATGGCTCAGCTAATCATATCAAAAAACTAACCATCGAGAGTGCTTTAATATCATTAAATGGCTTTTAAAATTTTGAAATTGATCAAGCCGTTTTTAAGAAAACGTCGATGATAGATCTAATTTTGACTGACGTCAAAAAACGCTGTAATATTTTAATAAGTTTTCCTAAAATCGGTTCACGCACACGGTTTTGAAATCGGTTCAGCAGTTTTTTTAGTAAATATCGACAAAAGGCTAAAAATTGGCTCACACACATCCATACATATACACACATTTTCCAAATTTAATCTCAATCGATTCAGAATGCCTTGAAACGTTGAGAAAACATAAAATTGGAAATTTCTCGCTAAAAACAAACTTCTCCTTCGGGGGTTAAGAAAAATTAAGTATAATATAAGAGATTAATATTTAAACTAGTGGTGTGTATGGCATCGTGCCTTAAGGCAAATTGCTGGAACTTCCCGTACCGTAACGAAATGTTCGAGGAATATTAAATGTTTTCAAATAGATTATTGTAACATTGTCAAATATTTATAAGAATTATATAAACTGAATTGCAAAGTTGAAAATATTTGTTTGAAGTATATTAGAACTTAAATCAAAATTACAATTAAAATCTGAATTATTTTTGATATAAAAAAAAATTAAAAATTTAAATTAAAAAAAAAACATTTTTTTCAAAAGCAATTATTTTGTTGAAACAAGCAGAAAGTTCTTTGCATCATTCAAATCGGACGCTTGGTTCTCTCAGAAACTGCCATTTTCTTGCACATTTAGCTCTGTATCTCTGAAACCGCTGGACCTGCCTTTGGCAAAAACTAATCACCACTTTTCCCCGTCATTACAAATTGAATGTTTTTTAGATCATGCAAATCGGATGCTCCGTTTTCTCAAAATCTCGATTTTTATTTTCTGCACTCTTTGCTCCGTTTCTCCGAAACGGGTGGACCTATCTTTGCGAAAAACTAATCAGCACATCTCCCTATCAATAGGAATCGACTGTTCTTTTAACCATTCCAATCGGTTGATCCGTGCGCCCGAAAACGTGAACAAAAAAATGCACACACACACATCCATTTATTCTGAGGTATGCCAAAATGTTCAGAAACTGTCAAAACGTCGATAAATGTAAAAATTTTCAATTTCGGTTTTTGGACGATTACAATAACTTACCCTACGGCAAGTTAATTAAAATTATATAACGTATCAGTATAGAGTAGCATAATCGTAATAATAGATAATAGAGTCGGAAAAAATTTTTAGTATTTGGTAATAATACGTATTTGGTATAATAGTCTGGTTTATCAAAACGACTAAAATAATTATTTATATTATAAATGTAACTGTTAAAATAAAAACTAATTAAAATCTTTTAAGATTAAAAGTAGTCGATAAAAGTTTTCTTCGTATTACAAGGTAAATAATGTTTTATATCTATAAATAGCATTTTTTTAAACTTTTTTTCAGAGCCTCCAAAACCGATACACTTGCCTTCCCAAAAATTTAATCAGTTTTTCATTTTTTGGATGAAAAATTGTATCCAAATATGATACATGCATAATGCATATATTTTTTATAACGTATTCCAAAAGTTCAGAACGTAAAATTAGGCAAAAAAAATCATCTTGGATGTTTTTGCTATCACCATACTAAACTCTATGGGAAGTTAATAAGGAATTGATATTTCAATGATTATTGAAACTAAGCGTTTTGAATTAACACAAAATCACGAACTATCCAAAAGTAGAGACAAACCCAGTAATATAGTGGTAGGGACATATGATTGAGCATGAGGTGAATCATAACACCAAAATGTTTAAAAGTAATAGTAATTAAAACCCAAAATAACCGATTGATCATCGGTTGATTGAGTACAATCATAGCACAATTGTTCATTTTGTATATTACAAATCATAACAGCCCTCTCGGTCCGCCCATTTTTCCGAGGCGAAATCATCGCACGGCGTGCAACCCGGCGCAGTGCGTCTAGAAACGTCGAACCGAGAAGATAGCCGATATAAGGGCCTAAGCCAAAAACGACTTATTTGGGGACTCCCTTGGAATAATAAAAATTCATAATAATAAAATTACCATTGAAATATAATATTATTTTATACAACCAAATAGACATATTTATAAAAAGTGATTTTAGTGTAAATATCAATACTTTTAATCAGCAAGGTTTTACATAGTTACATGTGCAATAGTGAAGTTTGTGATTTTGTGAATAGGTAGAAGTAACAACAAATGTGTAGTCTAGAAATTCAAAATTCACTTTTATTTTTCAGAGAGTCAAAAATACGCAATGCAATATATTTGAAATGTTTTCTCCGATAAGCTAAATGTGCTGTAGGTGTTACACAAATTTTTGTTGATAATATTTAACTGGTTTGATCACTCACATATATTCAGATATATTATTCATAAGTATAATATCGGTTACTTAAACTTTTAGTACGTACTCTTATCGATGTGTAATAAAAGTATAATAAACAAATAAGCTTTTAGTAGTTCCATGGTCGATTAAAATTCTATTGACATGATTAATAATAAATACCTTCAATAACGTAGTGAAATGTGGACAATAAAAACAAATTAGTTTTAGTTCTTATTACAATTATATTACATTTACCATGGATGCAAATAAGCCACCTCTACTAAGTAATATGACAACAAATTCATCCCCCGAACGCCTAGTAGAATCAAATGCTTCAAGTGAAGAAAATGGAAACCTAAACATCAACCCCAACATGAATTATTACGAACAACAACCGAATATAAATGTTTTATTCGCCCAAAACGCCAACAGAAATTTATACGCCAACAAACGAAGCTCCAGCGAATTCACAGACGATTTTTACAACACCAATAAAAGCTTCATGTTTTGTACCAAATACCAAAAAAACGATCCTTACTATATGACAAATACCGTCGAAGACCGCGGAAAAACCTTAAATTTATCCAACGACTTCTTCTCCAAGTGCGAGACGATGGAGCCGAAACCGATTTCGCAGACTTTGGAAAGCACAGGGCCGTCGGCGAGGTTGGCGGAAAATCGGGAAAATTCGGTGCCTTTATATACTCCTTCGACGGGACAGGGGGATGGAAATAGGAAATTAGTTAGTTTTAGTACGGAACAAATTCAATGCATGTGCGAAGCTTTGCAGCAACGCGGAGATTTGGAGAGACTTGCGACTTTTTTGTGGAGCTTGCCGCCTACGGAACTTCTTCGGGGGAACGAGAGCGTTTTGAGGTAAAAATCAAATCTTGGAAAAAATAATTTATATTTTATATACTTATTTGCATAGTTTATATTTTATATACTATGTAGAATATTCTTACTTATTTTAATCATTATACTTAATTGCATAGTTTATATTTTATATACTATTTAGAATATTCTTACTTATTTTAATCATTATACTTAATTACATAGTTTATATTTTATATACTATGTAGAATATTCTTACTTATTTTATTCATTATATTTATAATAATTGCAGCAATAGTATATATTATCCCCAGATATCTCCATTTTTTTAACGTTTTATTTTAGATTGTATGGCCATATTTTAAATCTTCGAGTAAGAGATTCCTCACTCAATTCGTTTAAATGTTTGTTTGTGCGACCTGATAATTTTTCGTGGTATTTTTTACTTTTTTTATTTAGTTATTATTTACAAGTCTTTATTCTATGTATTATATATATATAGATATATTAGGGTGGTCCTTAATATGAACGTTTTAGAATTTCCTTGCTCCCAAGGGTTCAAATTATTCCAAATTGATAAAAAATAATTCTCTGGAAGTTTTAGCTCTTAATATTGCCTTTTAGATAGAGCGCAATTCCATCAAAGTTTTGTATGAAAATAGCATAAAAAATTTTAAAAATTTCGCAGGGCGTCGAATTTTCAATAAAAAATGACACGAATTTTCACTTTTAATTTATTTGTCGCTAAGTCATACATAATATTTTTTTTAATTTTCAAAATTTTTTCCATGCTATTTCCATACGAAGTTTTAATTGAATTGCGCACTATCTAAAAGTTAATATTAAGAGGTAAAACTATCAGAGAATTGTTTTTTATCAATTTGGAACCATTTGAGCCCTTGGGAGCAAGGAAATTCGAAAATGTCCATATTAAGGACACACATATATATATATATATATATATATATATATATATATATATATTAACAAAGTCTAATAATCGGGCATAACATCAATAAAAAACATGAATTTCTTTCAAAAATTTATTTTAAATCCATACGTTTCGGCTATAATCCTAGCCTTCATTCAGTGAAAAATTAGTTGATCTTAGTGTTAATTTGGAAAACTTTAGTAATCCATGGTATTAGGATATGGTAATGCACTACACTATGTATTATAAACATTAACTTGAAATTACACAATATTTTCACAAAATACTGATTTGAAAAAATCACAAATGGATAGTGTGTTATTCGTAGTCTACGAATAACACACTATCCATTTGTGATTTTTTCAAATCAGTATTTTGTGAAAATATTGTGTAATTTCAAGTTAATGTTTATAATACATAGTGTAGTGCATTACCATATCCTAATACCATGGATTACTAAAGTTTTCCAAATTAACACTAAGATCAACTAATTTTTCACTGAATGAAGGCTAGGATTATAGCCGAAACGTATGGATTTAAAATAAATTTTTGAAAGAAATTCATGTTTTTTATTGATGTTATGCCCGATTATTAGACTTTGTTAATACATATGTCAACATCAAATTCAGAATCATACAAAATATATATATATATATATATATATATATATATATATATATATATATATAAGTATGTATTAACGAGTTAAAAAATGAATTAATAATTACAATTCTATATTTAAACGTTTCGACACTTGATACGTCTCATTATTAAACAAACTACATGAACTATTTAATATTTCATTTTAATCTAATATTTAATATTTATTTATTAAGAAATTATTTATTAACACCAAAACATAAAGACAATTATAAAAAAAATTAACTTATTTTTATATATTATCATCCTATTTATTATAACTATCATAAAAATGATAACATCCGAAGTTTCTTGAAATAATATATATTTTTTTTGTTATGATTTATTTTTGCTAATCAAGACTTTTATGTCTTATTTTGACATAATGATACTTAATCAATGATTACTGAAATCAAAATCACTTTGAGTTGATTAAAATTTCATATTAATTCTGTGTTTTACTCATTCTGGTCCGATTTGCTGAATGATGGCACATATAAATTGTCGAAACGTTTGAATAAATAATTGTAAATAATTCATTTTTTAATTCGACGAATTGGCCAAGTAAGGATATCAAATATGTTTGAAAAAAAAAAGGTTACAATTTTTTTAATAGATATATAATCCTTTTATATCTGAATGCAATTCTAAATCGTCATTTTTATTTAAATATTTAAAATTTAAATTCAAATCTTTAAGAAGTTGCCAAATTTTTATTTAAATCTTAAATAATTTGTCAAAAATTCTCATATTAGCTCTAAAACATCAGTTGCTCTTGAAATTCATTCGATCATTTTTAAAATTGAATTGGGATTATTGTTGAGTTATAATTAATTATTTGTTCTAAAATTTGAAATTGAGATTTAACAGTAGAACAAGATATTATAATATTAAGTAAAATTATTAGATATTTAATTTTTGTAACCCTGTTAAATATTCCATTAACATTCGACAATCAGCTTAGTTAGGAAATAAAATAAATTAATGAATAAATAAGTAAATTTCCTATTTTTTTTTAAATTTGTTTCTTTTCATCTTACATAAAAAACATAGCAATTTTGATAACCTATGTAAATTATCCAATTAAAGTTCTGAAATGTACCTAGTACTTTTAGTAGCCCTTTGTAATTTTAATAAACTAAATTAAATTTAGTCTGATAAAGTTTTTTTTTTAATAATAAATTATAATAGTAATAATAATATTTATAATTATAAATTGAGAAAGTGATATGAAGCTTTATTTTTTTTTTTAAATATATTATAAATAAAGAAAAAAAGAGTAAGATTAGTGCATAAAAAATATTCGAATTAGCTGTGTTTTTTATGTAAGGATAATTAGGTAAAAAGAAGTCTTATGAAAACAAATTAAAAAAAAAATAGAAAATTTACTTATTTATTTATTTCATTATTTCTAATAATTTTACTTGATATTATAATATCTTGTTCTGCTCTTAAATCTCGATTTCAAATTTTAGAACAAATAATAAATTATTATAACTCAACAAGTAATAATTCCAATTCAATTTTAAAAACGATCGAATGAATTTCAAGAGCAACTAGTGTTATGAGAATTTTTGGCAAATTATTTAAGGTTTAAACAAAAATTTGGCATTTTTTTAAAAAAAATTAAATATTTTGTATCTATTCGGCCCTGTTACTTCCCCTCGAATCTTTAAATTTTAATTACAAGTATTGTATTTCGTCCACAAGTTCCCGTATTTTACTAAAAATCCTTCCTCTGGGCATTTCGCAAAGGTCCTAACGTTTTTCTATTTATTCTATTGAAATATATATATATTTGTCATTTCGGCAGGGCCAGGGCTTCTGTGGCTTTCCACAGGGGCGTCTTTCATGAATTATACTCTATACTTGAGGCTCACACATTTGATTCAAGATATCACGCCGAATTGCAAACATTGTGGTTCAGGGCACATTACAGGGAAGCGGAAAAAGTACGAGGAAGACCCTTAGGTAAATGGGATAGATTATTTATTTTATTGTTATTGGGATAGATTATTTATTTATAATTTTAATTGTTATTAGATTATTTAAATACTTAGTTTAACCATAACTCCGCAATTCGTCGATATAGCGGTGATATGAAATATTATTAAGTTTTGGACAGTACATGGAAAACTGATATCAAACAGTAGCATATATATGATCATTTAACTAAGAAATCTTATATATAAAAATGAATCGCAATATGTGTTGATAAGCGCATAACTCAACAACGCCTGGACCAATTTGGCTAATTCTTTTTTTAAAATGTTCCTTGAAGTCCAATGATGGTTCTTACGGCGAGAAAGAATCAAATAATTGCCGGGAAACCCCTAAGAACAGCCTTTTTCTTCTTCTCATACAAACGTTTTCTAACTAAAACGTATAATCAATTTGAGCTTTATTGTTATTATATAAAGTTGATATTAAATTACAAGCACTCACTGTATACTCCTCCTAAACGATTATTTAAATTTTGATAAATCTTTCTGAAGTTTGTTAAGGAAATTTTCTAGGATGTATGTGATTTTAAAGTACTGGGATTTATGTGCAATATTGTAGAAATTAATGAAAAAAATTGTAAAAAACGACGTGTCATTGTTTGCATTGAAAACAAATGAAAACTATCATCTGCCAAAAATTTCAATTTACTTATGAACCTAGACAATATTAGAATATGTATAATAAACTTATGATTATGAATAAGAAAAATGAAATGTCTACATTATTATTGCCAAAAAGCAGCTGAGCTGTGATAGAAATTAAAATAATATAAAATACAGTATATATATTAGGGTGGTCCTTAAAATGGTCATTTTCGAATTTCCTTGCTCCCAGGGGCTCAAATGGTTCCAAATAGATAAAAAACAATTCTCTGAAAGTTTTAGCTCTTAATATTAACGTTTAGATAGAGCGCAATTCAATCAAAGTTTTGTATGGAAATAGCATGGAAAAATTTTCAAAAATTTTAAAAATGTTTTTTAGATGTAATTTAGCAAACAAATGAATGAATAGAACTCATTCATTTGTCGCTAAGTTACATCTAAAACATTTTTTTTTAATTTTCAAAATTTTTTCCATGCTCTTTCCATACAAACTTTGATTGAATTGCGCTCTATCTAAACGTTAATATTAAGAGCTAAAACTTTTTGAGAATTGTTTTTTATCTATTTGGAACCATTTGAGCCCCTGGGAGCAAGAAAATTCGAAAAGACCATTTTAAGGACCACCCTAATATATATGTATGGTAGATTGAATGATACATATATGAACAGGATATGACAAATTAATTCACTTAAAATATGAAATTAAGTATTAATCAGGGCCGGTCCTGCCTTTAATGCAATGCATGCAAAAAATACGAGCGCACGCCTTAGGGGGCGTCAACATAAAATTCGGATATTAAATTTTCAATATAGTTTTTTTTTCAATATATAATTTCTTAATATTTCTAGTTTCTTAATATTTGTTACCGATTATATATATACTTTATTAGATTGTTTTTTTATTACCTAAGCAAACAGTTTTGTATTTTAAAGCTCTATAAGCCTTAATTGACAAAATAATAAATAAAGATAAAAAAAATTATATAGTCTTACGTTTTTACAATTAATTATACCTGTTAAAGTAATGACTAGCTGATTGTTTAGATATTTTCGTATTATCTTACCTTTTCCCCAAATAGCGAAAAATATAAGCGCAATACTTGATGTGGATGCTATAGCATTCATCGTATATAACGATTAAAATATGATAATATGACTTCCCCTAAAACGATGTTTAATCAAATTTCCGATCTCACAACCAATTTAAAGATGAAATGACTCAATTTTTGTTGAAAATATATCATCAGTGTTCTAAATTCTAATGAAATATAGTAAATATATAAATTCCAATAAAAATATAATAAATATATAGGTCAACTATTTGAAAGTTGTCTTCTAACAGTAATTTGTTAAATAATAACTAACAAAAAAAAAATCGAAATATTAACATATAATAAGAGGCAGATTAGAATCAATAAGCAAATTAAAAATATAGACGTTTTTGGGGTGTTCTTTTTAAAACAAATATTTTACATGTATGTTACTTCTCAAATAATCAGTTTTCAAAAATTAGATAAGAAGGGTTTTGTTAAACATTTTAACATGTTTAGTTAAAAAATATTTAGTAATATTTCTTCATTCAACATATTTAGTAATATAATCAAAAAATCTGTTACATAATTATAAATTTTTTTTTCAAAATATTGTCAAATGTTTAAAATAATTTTATTATTATTTATTTTTTATCATATAGTAATTTTTACACCTGTTCTAAAATGGATAAGAAGTAAAACTGCAGGATTAAAAAAAATTATATTAAAAATACAAAATCTTCTGACCATTGATAAAATCTTGAAAAATTTAATTTTAACATTTTTTATTAATAGACCTAAGTTTGTTGTAGTTGTATCCCACATAAATATGAACTTATATAAATATTAATTATAAATATTTCCTTTCATATTAATTATTTCATATCAATTACAGGTGCTGTTGACAAATATCGATTGCGTAAAAAATATCCTTTGCCAAAAACTATTTGGGACGGCGAAGAAACTGTCTATTGTTTCAAAGAAAAAAGTAGGAATGCTTTGAAAGATTGCTACGACCGTAACAGGTAATAATATATAATTTAAAAAAATAATTATCAAAAAAATTACATTGTAATTAACCCATCTACTGATTATGTAAATTATTTCTGGTGGTAATAAACGATACCTTAAAATGTAAAAAGTCTGATTCTTTTGGTCGATATGAAAAATATAATTTCAATATTTTTTTATCATTATCCTGTTTAATTCCAAATATTTCAATTATAATGAGGTCAGGCTTTTGTATGACGAAGTGCGTTCAGAAATTCGAGGACGAATTGTTATTTCAGTTTTTGAAATAGGATACACCGTGTCGCCTCGTAAAGCATTTTTATGTTCCCTATTCCTTGGCGATTGTTTGTGTTATAAATATTACAGATTAAAAAACAGATTGTTATTTAATTCAGGATAATGAACCACAATCCAACTGTAAACTATCCTATGATTTTTTTACCTTGAACCTATCTCGAGTACATTATGAGATAACTATGAACGACGACTAGGATTTATCTAGACAACGGGTTCTCAATTTAAATTTAATTAAAACTGCAAATATTTTTTTAATTATTATTATTAATGAATTCTAATAAAAAAGAATCAAATCATAGATATAACTAATGCAAAATATTAACAACGTTTTCGAAGTTTTTGTGTCAGTTACTTCATAAGCAATTCGTGGTCAATAAATAATGTTATATGGTTTCATAATAAGTAATAGTACTATTGTTTATTAAATTATTTTTTAAAAATATATATTTTTTCCACTGGGATTTAAAAATACATCAAAATCCATTATAGTAGATTACTGTAATTTTTAAGCTCTTTAAAGTAAAATATTAATAAAATCATTTAGCAATCCTACAAACTAACGTTTGATTTGAATCGATTGATTAGAAGTAACTAATTTATGTTAATTTGTAAATTTTTTTAAAAAAAAATGTATTTTTGTAGATATCCAACACCTGATGAAAAGAAAGCTTTAGCCAAAAGAACTGGTTTGACTTTAACACAAGTTTCAAATTGGTTTAAAAATCGGAGACAGAGAGATCGAACGCCACAACATAGATCGTAAGTTTTTTTTCTATATTTTTTTATTAAATTAATTATTTTAATTCTTTAACTTCCGTATGCTAGGTTATAGTAACCTCAAAAAATCGAAAATGAAAAATTTTATATATCTTCACGTTTCAAAAGTTTCTGAACATTTTGGCATACCCTAGAAAAAATGGATGTATGTGTGTGTGTGTGCGTGACAAATTTTCGTCGACGATTTCGGGAACACCGACCAACCGATTTGAATGGTTCAAAAAGCATTCGATTCCTATTGACAGGAAGATGTGCTGATTACTTTTTGGCAATGGCAGGTCTAGCCGTTTTGAGAATACGGGACAAAAAGTGACAAAAACGGTAACTCAGGTTTTAAGAGAACGGAGCGTCCGATTTTAAAAATTCAAAAAACATTTTACTTGTATTTACAAGATGAAGAACTGATTAAATTTTTGAAAAGGCAGGTCCAGCGGTTAAGGACTCTCATTAAAAATAAGTTAAAGAAATGTCATTTGGCGGTCACAAATGTTTATTGGACATATGCACATCAAGTTACTAAATATCTTATAGAGATTTTAATAATGTGTACACATTTTGTGTAATTTTTTTGGGTTTCGTACCAAGATTTCTAATTACGGTACGGGAAGTTCCAGCAATTTGCCTTAAGGCACGATGCCATGCGCTCCACTAGTTATTTTTTATAATCTATAAGTTTTTATATTTTATAATTTATAAGTTAGGTCTAGTTACAGTTTTAGTAATCGTAAAAAAACCAAAAATGAAAATTTTTGAGTATCTTTACGTTTCAAATTTTCTGAACAATTTATCATGCCTCAGAAAATAATGATTAATGTGTGTATGTGTGTGTGTTCGTTTGTGTACATTTGGTCGGATACAATTTTTATAAACTGATTAGATTTTTGCGAACAGGTCTAGCACCGAAATGCCATGCACCACTAGTTGGTAGTTTGGTATATAAAAATAGGTTTATATCATTTTCTACAAAACGACCTAAATCTATGACTTAATGAGATATTATTGTTGAAAAATTATATAAATAATCCAAAATAATAATAATCCATCAAGCTAAATGCTGTATTCTATAGGAAGGGTTTTAGTTGAAATTATTCTCCAGAAATTAGTGTTGTAAGATTCCCTTCAATTGAATTTCTGAGCTCTTACTAATTTTCTGGAACCTGGAAACTCTATTTAGTAATTCCATTGCTCTAACCATTAATCCAATGGGTATCCTAATAATTAAATAGTCAACCAATGCAAGTAATATATAATATATACAAATTATCTCTAGAAAAATGTTGTAAGTTTCTCCTAATTGAGTTTATGAGCTTTTAGTAATTTTCTGGACTCATATTTCTAAACCTCTGATTAAAATCCAATTGCTCTAACCATTAAACCGAGTGGTAACAGATTAATTAAATAATAAACCAATGCAAGTAATATATACAAACATTATCTAGAAAAGTGTTGTAAGTTTCTACTAATTGAGTTTATGAGCTTTTAGTAATTTTTTGGACTCATGTTCCTGAACCTCTGATTGAAATCCCATTGCTCTAACCATTGAACTAAAGCAGAACAAAATAATTAAATTCCAAACCAATGTAAGTAATATATCTATATCATTCGATCCAAATTGCGCATCAAAACAACAACTATAAACGGCGCCATCGGCCAGAAAGCGCGGATGTTTGCAAAAAATCAAAAGAGATGACAAAGCTCTATTACCTCAGATCTGGTGGACAGAAGAATCAGTATTTTTTTGACTTCTCGGAAATTTCGCAACTTAATCGAAACGTGTGCCAATTTTGTGGGAAACTACGCGCTCATCTGCGTTTACATGTCGGACAACGTAGATTTCAGAGCTTCGTATTTCACTTATTCAAGCGCTGTGTTTTACAATTGTGCTTCTGCTGACGGAGCGGAAAACGAAACAGATTTTAAATTTTATATTATATACATATATATCATAAAACAAAAGAAGTTAGACAACAACAACTAAAACCATAGCTACACTCTTGCAAATATTTAAAAAAAATCAATCGAAAGCTCTCGATAACCCTTTCAATGACGGTGCGACAAATGACACTAACACTAAACGAAGCCTCATTTCAGATTAACGGCAAAACGTCGGAAAATCTGGTATGAAACAAATAAAGTCACATGTGGAAGGCGGGGAGAATTGATAGAATTTTTAATTTTATATTATACTCGATAACCCGACAGACGTTATCCTGTACCCATGTCCACAATTTTTTAAAATAATATACTAATATTTACCGTTTACCTAAAAATAATATATTTTTTTAAATTACTCTTCACACCAAAATACTTTTATAATATGATCGATGTTAAATGTAGAACTGCTTTAAATAAAATGATGAATCTCAATTCCGACACTATATAGGAAATTGAAGTCTTTTAAACGGTATAACATAACCATAACCATAACATAACACTGGTACTTCATGTTGGATTAAATTAATTTAATTTTTTATTATTTAAGATATCCAAAATTGCATCTTAAACTTCTCCTAATCGATATCGTGAGAGCCGAATTGTATGTATTCATTTTTACTTTACCATTTGTTGTTATAAAGTGAAATTTTTACAAATTTTAAAAATATTGTGGAAAGATTAGTAAAATATGCAAAGAAATTATACATTGAAAAAAAAAACTATATTGAAAATTTATTATCCGAATCTTGTGTTGGCGCCCCCTAAGGCGTGCGCTCGTATTTTTCGCATGCATCGCATTAAAGGAAGGACCGGCCCTGATTAATACTTAATTTCATATTTTAGGTGAATTAATTTGACATATCCTGTTCATATGTGTATCATCCAATCTGCCATACATATACTGTATTCTATATTATTTTAATTTCTGGCACATCTCAGCTGCTTTTTGGCAATAATAACATAGACATTACATTTTTCTTATTCATAATCATAAATTTATTATACATATTCTAATATTGTCTAGGTTCATAAGTAAATTGAAATTGTTGGCAGATGATAGTTTTCATTTGTCTTCAATGCAAACAATGACATGTCGTTTTTAACCATTTTTTCCATTTATTTCTACAATATTGCATATACATCCCAGTTCTTTATAATCATGTGCATCCTAGAAAATTTCTTTAACAAACTTCAGAAAGATTTATCAAAATCCGCATAATCGTTTAGAAGGAGTATACAATGAGTGCTTGTAATTTAATATAAACTTTATATAATAGCAATAAAGCTCAAATTGATTCTACGTTTTAGTTAGAAAACGTTTGTATGAGAAAAGGATAAGAGCAGTTTTTAGGGTTTTCTTGGCAATTATTCGTTTTTTTCTCGCCGTAAGAACCATACTTGGACTTCAACGAACATTTTAAAAAAAGAATTAGCCAAATTGGTCTAGGCGCTTACCAACACATTTTGCGATTCATTTTCATATATAAGAAGATATAAGATACGTACACATTATAATGTTTTTATCTTTATCTCATCAATTTCTCATTTAAAGGTATCACTGAGAATTTTAAAACGTTGGTCTAGATAGGTTCGCAAAATTAATGAAATGCTCTTGATCGTTATAGATTTACTATTTCGTAATTGATGCGGATCAGTAAATATTTCTCATAAAATAAAAAATATTCGTCATAAACTATGTGTATTGTACACACACTGATATGCTCGTTTCCATTTGTTTTGACTAACAATATAAGTTTTCGAATGCCACGCGAAAGGAACATCATATTATAAACAAGCGAAGCATTTAAATCGTTATTTGCATGTATATATATATATATATATATATATATATATATATATATATATCATACATACATCTACATAAAACACATATGCACAAAAATATAAATGTGTAAAACCTGCAACAATTCTTGTCAATTTTTACACAGACACAAAAAGCTCGATACTACACACGTATATCACAATAAATATTCTAATTATAAAAATGCAAAAAAAAAAAACTAGTACGTATACCCTCAATTATTTCTCCTTCAGGCTGTTCCTGAATAAATAATTAAACCAAAGATTTTTCTCCAATCCATTCCTTCAAGGGTCAAGCGACCTCCTGCCTCCGTTTTGAACCTTTTACCAAATTCCACAAAAAATAATGAACCTGACTCACAAAAGTTGTTACAAGTGCCATATGTGTCATAAAACCGAGTTTTGAAAAAAAAAATCACATTCATCATTTTTATTCGTCAGTACGTGCCTATTGGGACCTCTCGGTACAATGAAAGAAAAAGGAAAAGGTCCGTTGGTCATGGGGTCTTTAAAAGTATATAATGATGACCTCTGGTAGAGTCGGTTAACAATTGGAAGTTCACATGTGGAAGAAGTTAAAGATTTTTAGTAATAGGCAATTTTAAATATAGTTGTTCTTTATATTATTAACTTCCCGTAGGGTAAATTATTGTAATCGTCAAAAAATCGAAATTGAAATTTTTTGCATTTTTCGACGTTTTGAAGGTTTCTGAACGTTTTGAAGGTTCTGAACATATCCTCAGAAAAAAAGGATATGTGTGTGTGTGTATGTATGTATGTATGGATACAATTTTAGTCCACGTTTTCGGGCGCACGAATCAACCGATTTGAATGGTTCAAAACATTTTCGATTCCTATTGATAGGGAAATGTGCTGATTAGTTTTAGGCAAAGGCAGGTCCAGCAGTTACGGAGATAAAAAGCAAAGAGTGCAGAAAATAGAAATCGAGTTTTTGAGCGAACGGAGCATCCAATTTAAATGATCTAAAAAACATTCAATTAGTAATGATTGGGAAAAGTTATTAGTTTTTGGCGAAGGCAAGCCCAGCCATTTCGAAGATACAGAGCTAAATGTGCAAAAAATGGCAGTTTTTGAGAGAACTAAGTGTCCGATTTGAATGATTCAAAGAACTTTCTGCTTGTTTTAACAAAATAATTGATTTCGGAAAAAAAAATGTTTCAAAATTCTTTTTGTTTTGGCAAAATTTTTTTTTTTGTATATCGAAAATAATTCAGATTTTATTTTTAATTCTGACTAAAATTCTGATATACTTTAAACAAATAATTTCAACTTTGCAATTTAGTTTATATAATTCTTATAAATATTAGACAATTTTACAAAATTTATAATAGTCTATCTGAAAACATTCAATATTCCTCAAACATTTCGTTACGGTACGGGAAGTTCCAGCAATTTGCCTTAAGGCACGATGCCATACACCCCACTAATTAAGGTTGGTGTAATTTACCAATAGATTCATTTTGATAAATATAAAAAAACTAATTAAATAACTTAAATAATTAATTTATAAATATATATTTTCCAGCTCTCTGTCTATATAAATTAAATGCATTCTCAATCCTCATATTCTTTTTTCTCAGAAGTCATTTCAAAACGGTCTCGGTTATTAAATTTTTACTTCTAACGATAATCAATTGACGAACTTTTGTTTTTACAACGTTATACCAGCCGGACCAATAAAGGTTTTATGAATGGAAATAAATTATATTAAATGTCCTCAAGTCTCTAGTTAAATTTGAAATAATATAAAACTATTATTTACCAAACAAATATTATCCATCAAATCGATTTCAAGAATGCACAACTATATCGTATTACTTCAATGATCGATTTGTAATTCGATTCCGGTTTTACGACACAAATATTAAATAATCGACATTCATTCAAATGGAGGATGCAAATTATCGAATGAATAAAAATAAACAGATCATATTTTAATAAATTACACAATCACAATTGTGAAAGTTTGTTATGATATCGAATTTAATCGACGAGTTCCAGAAGCAATTGCACGGAATTAATTAGATACTTAATTTTTATTATATGGAGCAGTTTGATTGTTCGAAGAAATTTAGATGGGTAATAAATAATTTAATAAAATATGATAATAAATTTAATATAACTAAACCTCGTGGTTAGAACTATGGACTTGTAGTCAGAGGTTCCAGGTTCGAAGACCTCTTCGGACAGCCTGATGTCGAGCAGCATCAGACTGCAACTTGAAAATATAATTAGCAACAATCTAAGTAGGCATCAACAAAAAAATATCACCATTACAAAAATTGTATTAATAAACTAGTGGGGCGCATGGCATCGTGCCTTAAGGCAAATTTCTGGAACTTCCCGTACCAAAAATTATTTTTTTTAAAAAAGATTAACATTTTTGAAAAAAAAATACTCTGAAAAATTAGATTTTTGAGAAACTATAAATTTTTGACAAAAATTTAATTTTTTTTTTGGAAAAAAAAGACTTTTTGAAGAAAAAAATATTTTGAAATAATTTGGAAATTCTGATCTTTTTTTCAAAGCAATCGTACTGCTTTAACTGCATATAGACTAAATATCGAAGCGCGTAAGCGCCGCGTCGCCGTCTAACGGATGAACATTTGTACGGAACCCATAGGAATGTAAACAAAATTTATACTTATTGTTAAAATCTCTATAAAATATCTGATAATTTCATGTGCATATGTCTAATGATCATTTTTGACCGCCAAATGGCATTTTTTTTACTTTTGTTAATGGATCTCCGAAACCGCTAGACCTGCCTCCATGAAAATTTACCTTATTATATCTTGTCAATACAAGTAAAATGTTTTTTGAATTATTAAAATGAGACACTCCGTTCTCTTAAAAACTGAGTTACCGTTTTTGGGGCTTTTTGCTCCATATCTTCGGAACGGCTAGACCTGCCTTTGCCAAAAACTAATCAGCACATCTCCCTATCAATAGGAATCGAATGTTTTTTAAACCATTCAAATCGGTTGATCAGTGATGAAAAAATGAGGACATACAAAACATACACACACACATCCATTTTTTCTGAGGTATGCCAAAATGTTCAGAAACCTTCAAAACGTCGAGAAATGCAAAAATTTTCATTTTCGATTTTCAACCCATTACTATAACTGCCCTAGGAAGTTAATAAATCGTAATTCATCCCATAAAGTTAGGACAACCGTTTGATTGCACAGCGACTCATAGGACCTAATATATTTAATACAATATTTATTATATTAATATTTTTATTCCCAGGGACGTAATGATGCCGAGTATATCATCAATGGGCCCTCTACAAATAAATAATTCTATGGACAACATGACGGCCGCCTCTTTGCAAAGACTTTTTCCTGCAAATTCTGGAGTCGTCAACTATGGTCCTTATGGGGAATATGTGCAAAATAGTCAAATTTCAACAATTAGCAATTAACAAGTATAAGTTTTATTACCTTGTTATAAAAACTATATGATAAAATGTAAATTAAATTATTTAGAAATTTGAAAAATCATAAAAAACGAACAGCAAGTGATATATGTAATATTGTGATGATTTGGGGTTTAGGCTTTTTCTTTTTGAATGCAATAACAGCTATTAAATTTAAGAGTAAATTAGAGATTACCTTAGCACCCTCTAAAAACTACCTTTAATTACCTGTGGGGGTTAGTAGTATAAGAATAAAACTAAGATTTACTTGATAAGTAAACCTATTTCTAACTTGCCCCAATCATTTTATTATGGAAAAAGTATTCAAGATGTAATTATATACTTGGACAATAATTATAATAGTAGAATGTTAAGAAAATAATTGCCAATTGTTTATTTTTTTCATTTCATATTACTTGAGTAAGTCCGTTTTATGTAATTTTTTAGTTGTTAATATATTTTGTATTATTTAAATATGACATACAATCACATTTAACAAAATATATGCATCAGATTTTGTAGTACTATTTAAAATTATAGTATAAATTCAAATTCCTGATAAAACAGCAAAAAATAAATAACTTAATAACACAATTAGTTGTATATATATATATATATATATATATATATATATATATATATATATATATATATATATATATATATATATATATATATATAATATAGTAGCATTAGTTATAAATGTTTATAAATGTAAATATATTATTTATATTAAGAAAGAGACTTTATTAAAATTATCTACAAACGTCAAAACTTGTTTTATATAAATTAAACAGTTGAATGAATTTAAAATCAAAGTTTAATTAATATTTATCTTTTATGTTTAAGCAAATATGGCATCTGTAATCCATTTCTTGGATGATATTAAAAAATTCCACGTCGAATTACAGAAACGAATCAAGTGGGTATTGAAAAACAAATATTGGTGTCAATATTTTATTATAACTTAATATTGAAACTGTATTTTATTGACAGTTATATTTTAAAAAATTCTACTCATTGTCATTCATTATATTAAATGTTAACTAAGAACAGTTGTTAAGTAAAAAAAAAAATACTTTCAGGAGTTGAACGATAAAAGTACAAATGTTTTATTATTATATGTTATATTATAAGTTTAATATTTTATTCTGTTTAGAGCTAGTGAAAAAGTGCAATTAAAAGAATTTAAAGCAGCCCGAATAATTGCAGCACAATGGCGTGGACATATGATCAGAATAAGAGTAGAATTTTGGCACAAAAATGCTATTATGATTCAAAAACACTACAGAGGTCTTCAAGGTACCAAAATAAAATAGTATATCATCATATTCATACTATTATTTATATATAAATTGTATTATATACAATAATATAGTGAAATATACCATTAAGGACGAAGAAAGTACAGAGCAAGGCTCCAAGAGGCTGTCGTAGAAATGTGCATCAAATTCTATAACAAAAATGCAATAACTATCCAATCTGTATATCGAGCATATTATTGCAGGAGATATGTATTTGACTATTATGCCATGAAAAAATGGATAAAAAAAGTCAATAAGAAAAACCAAGAATTAATTAGAGATATTAAAGATCAACATCAATTCCGAAGGATAGAAATTGTTAATGAGGTAGTGATGATTTTCATTTTTAGTTTAAAAATCAATGAATGTTTCTATGCTTCACATTGAAAACTAATATAAAATAATCTATACATTAGTATAGTTGCACAATAAAGCACAAATGACAATAATGACATCATTTACTTTAATTCCAGATGGAAGAAGAAGCTCACAAATGGGTCTTATTCATTGCCTTCAAGCTTCATCATCTACTAAGGACAAGAGCTATAGCTGGGATATATTCAAAGAACTATACCATGTATGATTACTGTAAACAAATTTATATATCTTTAGCCATAATGAAATATCCATTGATAAATAAATATATAAATATGCAACCATAAATTTCAAAGAAAGCGACTTAAATGAAAGTCGAGTATAGGACAAATCTTGGATAATTTCATGCAGAAACTCATAACAATATCAATTTAAATTTATAAATGAATTTTACATACAAGCTGCTATAACTCCATGACATCTAATGTTGTATCAATCCATATACACATTTATATATTGAATTTTCATGTATACTAAGATGACTAGGACACATCTAATGATGTATAACTCAATATATTCATTTATATATCCAATTTCCATACAAACTACAGCAACTAGAGCATATATAATGATGTATAAATCAATATATACATTTATGTATTTAATTTCCGCACAAACTACGAAGTCTAAGGCATACCTAAAGATGTACAAACCAATATATACATTTATATATCCAATTTCACGTTAATATATTTATATATATAATCTATAGGGAATTATCTAATAGGAAAAGCGACTTAAATTAAAGTCAAGTATAGGACAAATCTTGGATAATTTCATGCAGAAACTCATAACAATATCAATTTAAATTTATAAATGAATTTTACATACAAGCTGCTATAACTCCATGACATCTAATGTTGTATCAATCCATATACACATTTATATATTGAATTTTCATGTATACTAAGATGACTAGGACACATCTAATGATGTATAACTCAATATATTCATTTATATATCCAATTTCCATACAAACTACAGCAACTAGAGCATATATAATGATGTATAAATCAATATATACATTTATGTATTTAATTTCCGCACAAACTACGAAGTCTAAGGCATACCTAAAGATGTACAAACCAATATATACATTTATATATCCAATTTCACGTTAATATATTTATATATATAATCTATAGGGAATTATCTAATAGGAAAAGCGACTTAAATTAAAGTCAAGTATAGGACAAATCTTGGATAATTTCATACAGAAACCTGTAATAATATCAACTTAAATTTATATGTAAATTTTACATACAAACTGCAATAATTCCATGACATCTTATGTTGTATCAATCCATATATACATTTATATATTGAATTTTCATGCATACTAAGATGACTAGGTCACATCTACTGATGTATAACTCAATATATTCATTTATATATCCAATGTCCATACAAACTACAGCAACTAGGGTAGCAGGTATATATAATGATGTATAAACCAATATATACATTCATGTATTTAATTTCCACACAAACTACGAAGCCTAAGGCATACCTAAGGATGTACAAACCAATATATACATTTATATATCCAATTCCACATTAATATATTCATATATATAATCTACAGGGAGTTATCTAAGTTCGAGAAATTGTTAAAATCAATCAAATACACAAAGTACATGAATATCCTTCATGAAAAGTATCAGAATTACATGCAGTGTTTGAAAAACACAGAATTGCCTGCAGAATACACTTGCCATCGAAGATGTAAAGAAGAGGAAGCTTTGTATTATAAAAATATACGAAATGAAAATCACGAATATCCAAAACTAAAAACCACAAAGATTCCATGTACAAGCAGTAAGATACAAATAAATATACATTATAATAATATATTCAGCTATCCTAAAACTCACCTTTATTGTAGAACCGAAACCAGATTTCAACCTCTGTCGTCACCAATCTGATCCTGCTTTTGTTCCCAATGCCTTCAAACAAGGGCCTTATGATCCTATAAGGACTGATGTGCCCTGTCGTGATTTTGATCAGGATAAATTTTTAAATGGAGACTTTGATTTATCTGGTAAAACTGTTGATAAAGAAATGTTGGATTATATAGAATACCATATCAATGAATTGCAGAAACAAAAGTGCCAAATTCACTACACAAATAATTATCATGATAATAGATGCAGGGATAAAATGAAATGAACTATTTAATAATTATAGAAACTAATATATATATAATTTACACTGGTTTGGTTAGGGTTTGCAAAATTAAATAAATGTCATAATAATATTGTATTTCATTTCATTTGAAATATAATAATAATAAATTTGCACTTACTGGAATTTTTTGATAATCATCATTTTTCATTTAATACGTCAGATTTACATATATTTAATATCTAATTCAGAAAATTGCACAACACTGTTTTACATCTCGACTTTCCATTTAAAAAGCATTTTTGGGCGCAACTGTTCGGAAACTAATAAGTTGAAATTCAGGATAATTAAATTACTTGTCGTAACAAATTGAAAAATAACCCTAATTATAAATGATTTAGTCGCAAATATCAAACAAAATACATTTTCCTTGAGTCTTGGCATGCATTCGCATTGATAATACAACAAGAACTGTTTTTGAAGCTGTCAAATTGTATCAGGGGAACAGCAGTTTATATATAGCCAAAAACACAGCCCACATTCTGAACAACTTTAAATATTTCAAACAAATATTAAGATTAATTTAAATATTTTAAAATAACTCTTGCTTGTATCGTAATAAATTAATAAAATAACCTAATTTGATATAATTAAAACACAACAACAATACATTGTCCGCCATTATGCTCTCGGAGCTGTCAACCCGAAACGACCAATCAAATTGCAGGACGCAATTTAACAAGAAACCAGGACCGCATTTAAGACAACTTTAAATATTTTATACATATATGTAAATTGTTTTGAAAATTCCAACACAACATTACAATAATTTTACTTATCCAGATATTACGAATACATGTGTTTTTATTTTACGGACTCACAATGGCTAACTAATAACAACAAATTAAATTTTATTTTGTATTGTTCAATTAACTACAGAGAAACGGCTTAGCCGATCTTCACCAGAAACTAATCATCATGATACTCAATTAATTTTCTTTCTAAAAGTTTTTGAATTTCTAAAATCTGTCCAGGATTTTTGGCTAAAACTTGAACATAATAATTTGTACATTTCTGCTAATTATGAAGAAACAGTTTGACCGATCGTCGCACAAAACTAGTCAACGAAAGTTCTTATCGAGCGACATCCATTGGCTTTTAATTTTCTGAAATAAGTGCAGCCGTTTTTAAGAAAACATTGATGAAAGGTTGAAAATTATCTCACATACAAACAAATAACGAAATTTTAAAATTGCATGTTACATTAGGCATATTTACTATTTTTTTTATTGTTTATACAATAATATTAATGTTAAAAAAACATTTCCATCACCAAAACTTATTAAAATATCCAAAAACAACAAGTTGCATTTGATTTCAAATAAATATTCAAAATAATTACCCCTAAGATTTCAGCAGACGGCCCTGTGGAATACGAGCGAAATTTGATTGAAAAATGTGTCTGCTACCCTGTTAGATCGGCAGAAAAATTCGTATGAAAATGTATGAAATGTATGAAGAGTACGCGAGTTCTATGGGCCGCGCGAATAGTACTATACTATCATATATATATTCTGAGCGCGTCTGTTCTCCTGATACTTCGCAACGATTTCAGACGCAGCTTACTATGAAGTCGATTACTTTTCGAACGGCGCGATTTTTGAATAAATTAAAGAGAATTAAAGAAAGAGAAAAAAAATGTATATATTTTTATGTAAATGGGTCTTTATGTATGATTGTAATTAAGTAAATAAAATCAATTATAGAGCTATTAATTATTGTTTGTTAAATTATTTATGGTTATTAATTATTGTTTGCCAAAAGCAATCTGAAAAATTCTATATATTACACATTCATGTTTAAAAAAAATCAAATTAAATTACTTAAATATTTATTTATATAATTACAAAATATTACAAATTTACTCATATGTAAGTAGCAAAATTACAATGTTTCAAAGATATACTATATAATGATAATAATATAATAATTCAATATATACATAATACTTACATACATTTATATATCTAATTTCATTATTACTGCACAAGCTCTTAAGTCTAATAATGTACAATTCAATATATACATTTATATATCCATTTCCCATCCAAACTAAGGCAACTACTCACATATAGTGATGGAAAAAACAGTATATAATTCCGTGATAGGTTTCCATGGATTCCAACTTGATATGAACTGTCAAACTTAGTTCCTCACAAACTGGGAACGATTTTGCATAGAGGCGCTGCAAGCAATCACCGTAGGAGCTTAGAAATCTTATTGGATTCCTTTTTACGCAAGAACTGTCAAACGTTTGATGTTAGTTCCTCACGAACTGGGAACGATTTTATATAGAGGCGCTGCATGCAATCGCCTCTATGAATCTAGGAATCTTATTGGATTCCTTTATACGCTTTTATATGAATTCAACTTGACGTTAGTTCCTCACGAACTGGGAACGATTTTGCATAGAGGCGGCGCTGGCAGAGTCATACTTCATAATGTATGGCGCGATATTTGAATGCGCTTTCAAAATTGGGGAAAGATTCAAATATGAAATGTATATTTATATAGAGGTCTTATATATGCATTTTGAAATTTGCAAGTTTGAAAATAAATGAAGCTATTTATATATTATTAATAGTTAATTGTATAAGGTCTAACATATAATAATATATTTCAATTATTCATTGAAAAACAAAAACCAGATTTTGATGAATTGTGCGAGATTGGGATTGAATCCGGTACTATTGTGTAAAAAATTACTACAAAAAAGTAAAAATAACAAAACCAAATAAATATAGAGAGAAACTTTATCATTTTTTCTGAAACAAATACATAAAATAGTTGGAAGAAGACTTAAAATAATTAAATTTGATTTGTTTAAATTTATATATATATTTAAGTATTTATTTTTGCTTCTTCACATTATTCGATATACAAAGCAACTATAATTTAAACTTTAAAACACAATTATTTCAACACAAACCATTTACATCAAAATAGGTATATACATACTATATATAATATCTATAACATCATTTTATTTAATAACTTAGCAAAGATTCACATGTTTAACTCTTTCGCTACGAGAGTGTGACACCACTGAACAAGCCAGCAAAAGCCCAAGTAATTGTTTTAAAACATTTTAAAATCAATAATAATATACATGTATTTATAGAATAAATATTACACTTTTAAAAAAACAATATTCTGAACAATTAGAATAAACTCGAAATAAAATGAACTAGAATTTTTAATAATTTAATACAGATCACTCGAGTGATAAATATTGAAGCAAAAATCAACACAGTAGATATTGTCTAGAAGCGACACTCGTACACACAGGTCGCCGTAGCGAAAGGTTAAAGTTATTTGGATTTTGTCATCATTAGCAAATGCCAAACTGACTATTTTTGAAAGTAGTTTAGTTTAATTCAGACTTTTCGACAGTACTCTCATATAAGAAGCTTAACAATTATTACATCAGTATTAAGAGGTGAAAAATTATATTGGTACCATGATTATTTTTATTTTAAGAATATTTTGTATTGGGAAGCAATATAGACTCACATTTTTGGTCCATACACACCTAGTTCATTCATTCTGCACAAGGACAAATAATGATTACAGTTAGAATTACCAAAATCTACATAGGTATCATATCTTACATTACTTACACTTAAGTTAAATTAACTAAAATAACGCTAAGTATTAAATTAACATAAATTTTGCATAAAATGAAATGATTTTTCTTTATTATAATACTCAAACTAACCATAAATAAATATTTTTACGGAATCCAAAAGCTAAAAGATCTACATTTCTTTCTGCATATAAAAAAATCATTTACCTTTATCACAAATTATGCTAACGTAAATCATTATATATATACTATCATTATATAAATACTTTTTATCCAGATACTGAAATTAGAATATCAAATAATTTAAATTTTACAAAAGTATATACTTATTTTAATATTTTTGTCTTGAAATCCTTAAACATTACAATTATTTTATTACACACATATGCTTTTTTATTCATATTTATACAAGTTTTTGAAATATAATACATTTTGGAGATGTGCTTATAACATTTTGCTCAAATAACATGGATATGATCAATTTTTTTGTAAAATAAAAGTACATCAACATATATAGATTCTTTCCAACATCAAATTCTGATAATGATATGGTTGTGGTTCCAAATTATTGATTATTTTTAAAGCAGCGCGTTCATTCTTATTTTTAGTATTTACAATAATTCTTGTATAATACATTTTAATATTTTAATATCGAATTTACAAAGATATGAAAAAGTTGTGATGGGTGTGATACGTTTGATGATATGCATAGAGATATTTAAATAAAAATGAACACAGTATTAAACATTTAATTGTTAAATCAGAATTTGTTTAACGATATTCAAAGCTACGTTTTTAGAAATGTTAAGAAGATGAGTACATGAGACCTTATTTTACAAAATTCTAATCAATTTTTTTACAAGGTATTTAAAAATATATCAATCTATAATATTGTCATTCATGTCCAAAATGATAAAATTAGTCAAATAAAATGCTATTTAAATATATAACTGCTTTTATTAATTAAGTCAAGTCAAATTTGATTCTTCTAATGAAAAATAATTACTTTTAGCCAAAGTTTTGTTTGGAATATATATTGAGTCAACCGAAAAGTGTATTCGCTTTAAATCTTTTATTTTTCTGAATAGAAACTATTATTATCTATATAATAATAATATCAATAATTTTTTATTTTTAATAAAAAAAGCGTACAATAAATACTTAATTTTATTTATGAATAAATCAATTTATTGAAAAATTCAGGATTCATCTATTAATTAAATGAGCAATAATTTTAAGTGCTGTTTAAATAACTAAAAGTGATTTTTGGCCGCAAGAATATACTTTAGGGTTTTAAAACTTATGTAAATAACTGCTAATATTGATTTTTTTCGTTCTACAAAAATTCTGTATAAGCACATATTAACTAATAGTTTGTATTTAAATATAAATTTCACTTATTTAGAAAATTACTTACCAGATCATTCATTCAATAAAATAATAACGTATAATCCAATCGTTGGTTCGAATTCATATTTTTATTTATGAAAACGATAAAAATGTTTGGAACCATACGTGTACTTTATGACAATATAGCGTTATACACAAACCAAAACAATAGAACGATTGGAGGCCAAACCATAAATATTTTTCCACAAAGCATACCTTATAAATATTCATACTGACACAGTGAACGAATTCCACATTCGTCCCATCGAAACAAAATCATAAAAAGTAAAATAAATAAAAGGAACAAGAACTCGATCACCGTGAAACACACACAAACTGTTTCTTATCAAATCTTTTTCTTCAATACCTCGTTTTGGGTCTAAACACAACAGAGCCTTATATTTAGTGCTGGTCACCAGGAATTTCACACATGATCGACATGGTTGGTTCCCAATTGTCTGTAAATCTGCTGTCCGTCTGCTGGACGCAGTTTCACATCGAATAAGGACAGTTTTTCGTCGAAAACTGCATGAGTGTTGTTCACTATACGACGACCTCTGCTCCTAAAAGATAATTGATACATATTAATTATTAATGTTATACTATTATATTTCTGAAACATTTTATCACAATTTAAACAACAATCAGTATTAACTCTTTGGGGACGGCTGTCCACCTGAGTCGACAAACATACTCTGTGAGGTAAAAAATGACTCAGTTTGCATCGAAAAGTTGAATAAATTACATATAACAGTGATAAACAGTGTTGAATTTTGAAAATAATTTTAAGTTATTTTAGTAGTATTTTTAGCCTTTTTCTTTGCTATATAGTGTTTTTTTAATATTTAAAACGACCGAGCGCTTTTAAATATGGCAAAACGACTGGTAAATTTTGTGACTTAAGCAGTAGTAATAGACATTCATACAGACAAATTTTACGAAATTACTATTCACACCGAAGATAGTGATGAATGTGATGATGATATTATCCAAAAAGAAGAAGGAGTTCGACAAATTAAATGAAGAGTGGAATGACATTAGCGAATAAACCGATTTTCCTTCAATAATCGAGATCGACATACATCAACAAACACCCTGATTACAAATACCAAGCAATATAAAACATCCAATAGATTATTTTACTTTATATTTTACAAATGAATGATTAGACAATATAATAGAAAAAACAAACCATTATGGTAACAAAAAATGAACAAATATACTGACTAATCAGTGGCATATTCTAAATGCGAGAGAAAGAAAAAGGGATTGTATTGTCGGTTCTGAAAGAAAAGCACCAAGAGAAATGCGGCGAACAACATTTTATTATAAAACATGTCAAAATCAACCAGATATGCATTTTGCAAATTGTTTTGAACGTCACCATTCTTTATAAAATGATCAAAAATAAATTAATATTATAAATGTATGTCCTTCAATGACCACAAATTTTTATCAAACAAATTGCATGAAACAATGAAATCAAGTTTACAGCCCGTACAGTAGATTGTTTTAAAATCGGTGCCGTCCCGTTAGTGTTAAGAATTCTATTACATTTATCAATTTCGCTTACCTTCTTGCGTGGCAGAAATAGTAAACTCCCACACAGCAGCCTATCAGGCTGCTCACGACGACTATCGTGATAGCCAAAGTCGTGAAATCTGGTTTCTCCGTCAAAATATCCTTCTTTGGTCCATGATGTTCCACTTCGTCGGTGGGAAGTGCAGGCTCCAGAACCCTGTTATACCTGCAGGTGCATTGGTGGCAACCGAAGAGATCAGGCTGCGAGCAGATCAGGTCCGTGTCGTGTTCTTCGCCGCAGTTCGGAATTTCCGGGCAGGACGGCGGACACACCGGACAACATTCTCCGGGGACGGTTATTGTTGGCCTTTCGCAATCAGACTGGGAGAAAGATATAAAACAGTTAGTTACATGTTTAAAGTATATTTGGCTTTTGACACAACAAGAACACATAGTTCTGATTGCTTGATATCAGCCAGTACGGCCAAAATAGTAATTGACTATTATTATTAACTAGGCATTATGCAGAAAATATAATTTGACAAAATTGAGCATAACATTCTTCTTGCTAAATTATCTAAGATTGGTCTTAATTCTTCACTTATTTATTTTTTAAGAGTTATCTTCATAATCGTAAACAGTTTGTCTATCTTAATGGATTCTTGTGCAATATTGAAAATATCAGTTTAGGTGTTCCTCAGGGATCCATTCTTGGTCCACTACTATTTATTATTTTTATTAATGACATATCTGAAATTATTAGCAGATGAATAATTAATTATTATCAGATTCAGGAGTTTTATTTGATTCTGGTTTGTTTTTCACTGATCATGTAACTGATATTTGTAATAGAGCACCTAAATCTTTAGGTTTGATACTGAGAAATTGTAAAGAATTCAAATCAAATAATGCACTTCTTTGAATGTACTATTCTGATGTACGTTCAAAATTAGAATATGGATCATTTGGTATCCTCATCAAATCAACAACTCTGATGCGATAAAGAAGGTTCAGCGAAAATTTCTGAAATATCTCTATTATAAAACATATAAAATTGACCCTGAACGTGGTTTTGACCACAACACTTTACTAAAAGAATTTGGTATAACTTCTCTTGCCTCACGTCGATTTATCTGTACAATTATGTTCTTATTTAAACTTTGCAATAATGCTATAATTGACTGTCTTCTTATTCTTAACCAACTATCCTTTAATGTTCGAAGGCTATCTACGCGTTCACAATTATTTTTTAATTATCCTACTCGTAAATCTAATTCTCTCTTAAATTCGCCTATTCTACTTATGTACTCTAACTTTAACTTAATTAATAATGAAATAGATATTCACAACACTTCACCTAATCAAATAACCTCCATTCGCACAAGTTAACCTTTTTATTTTCTTTTCAAATATCTCATTATTTTATCTTATTCTGTAAATAAATAATATTGTTACATTCTGTATTATATGTCATGTTATGTTAAACACATCTTGATTTTTACTACCTATATATTGTAATTTTGTATATATCTTATTATTATTCATTATGTAAAATAATTGTATTTTTGAGTCCTCGTGGAAGAAATCTGTGGGCTATATATTTAAAAATAAATAAATAATCAAATTTTACCTGACAAATTTATTCGAAACCGCAAAAATAACAACGTGCCAACCAATATGAAATGTTACAATTAATTTTATTAATAACAGATCGTATTTAGCTGTCGCATTACCGCATCTGTTCGATAATAAACAAACGGCCCTAAAATGTACAATGAGGGATTATATAATAGAATTGTTAGTACAGCTGTAGTCCATTTGTTTAAATTTGCGTGCAATTACGATATTTCTATTAATGGAATTTATTTAATCAATGGATTAAATGATGTATAAATACACAGGTGTAAATATTTTGCTGCGGTAATAACAAATTTCGACGCGTTAGTAAAATATGCAGTTGGACAATATATGACCAAAGATTACTACATTCTAGCACAATTAAAATATAAATGTATTCGTTGTGCTCATTCGACTTAAAGTATCTAGCACCATAAAATCGCTTCCATGGTAATTTTTTTGCCAAAAGAATCTCCTTGACAGAGCTCTCCTAGCCCCACTTGATATACGGCCGGCTCTAAGCTAACTTATTCCGTCCCGAGAGTCTTTTTCTAGCAAAGCAATTATTTAAAGATTTAGGCGGTCTGCAGTTTTTATATGCAAAAGGATATATGCATACATTAAAATACACAAACGATATCGTAGTTCGACACACTGTGGGTTTCCACACCGACATCTATTATTATGCATTGTGTTTTTTGCATTGATTTATATTGAGGTATAAATTATTCTTTTGTCGGCACCTAGTACGTGTTGGAAATGATAGGTGGGAGCTGAATTCGAAATGTTACTTATACGTAGGTAAAATATATCAAATTTAAATATATAGATATAATATGATATATGTAGAAAGTAGAGATGGGTAACTCACTCCGGAGTTATCACTCCCATACAACTCCTCCCTCGGAGTGAATCCGTGTGGAGTTGTCTCACAGGATTTGTCATATCCGACTTTCCTAAACTGGTACTAAACCTGTTAACATGTGCAGATATTTGCTTGAGATTTTTTACTAATACAAAGATTTGGGTCGAAAGAAGTGGTCTTTTTCTCGTCTCACAGGCACTTTTAGGACTTTCCAGGTATATAATGTCTCAAAAATAATGCTATTTTGTATTCTATATTCTGTATACGATAATGTTTGCCAGTAAATAAACTCTTTCAATGGTATACAACCAGCTTAAAAATATTTAGTATTATATTATAACTTTTACAAAATTGATTTTATAATTGTGTGAAAGTAAAAGAATGCTAATCAAACTACCTGATGTATAATTAAATCTCGAGAAGGAAATATTAAAAGAATGTGAGGTATTATTATTTTGTGAAAAATATTATACACACAGATTTGTTCTTCTTTCATATATAAGACTCACTGCATTATTTTCATATAAAAATAAACATATTCAAAAAATGCTATATTTTCTGTTCAAAAATAATTACAAAATTGATTTCGATTCCCAAGTTTTTTGTCAATTTGAGATTTGTATGCATATTGAACTGCATAAAATAGTAATTATTATAATAAAGTGAACAAAAATGTTTGAACTATTTGGAAACTATTTCCAAAGTCTTAATAAATCCTTAGATATGTTAACAACACACTAGAGAACACATTGGTGTCAAGTATTATGTTTCAAAGTTATCGGAGTTGTGGAGTTATTAAGTGGATATAACTCCTCTCTGAAGCGGAGTCAAATCCTAACCGCTCCGGCTTTGGATATGATAAGCCCATCTCTAATAGATATAATATAAAGATATATATACCTTGCAAATAGGAGTAGTGCATTTCTTCCGCCCCCTTACGCAAACGCACTCCGTGCAAGGACCTTCATGCCACCGGTCCCCATTTTGTTTCAAGGACCCCAAAGCAAAGCACCCACTGGGTCCTTCGCCTCCATCTGAATCCTCTTCGTCCTGTGGTATTTCAATGTCCTGCGAATGGCAGTCCGTTATTTGTTCACAATAAGAGTAACCATTTCTGCAGGTGCAACGCGTGCAAGCGTCCTAGAATTAAAAGTTCGTGAGAGATTGGAAGTTAAAGCCAGTTCTGGTTAAATGAATTTACTATTTAAAGACTAGGGTAAAATTAGTTCTGGGTTATACAGCTGACCCATATTAGACAAAAACTTTTTTTATTGTTTTATTTTAATTACAATCTGTCACACTTAGGACAATCAGTAATTGCTTTGACTTTTCTTATTATATGAATCTTGAATGGATGGCAACCCAGTAGTTATGACTAATTATCTATACTCTGGACTGGTCCAGTCCAGTTATGACTAATTATCTATACTCTGGACTGGTCCAGTACAGTTATGACTAATTATCTATACTCGAAGTATTTGCTGGCATTTTATTATATATATACGAGTATATATATATATATATATATATATATATATATATATATATATATGCAACTATACCCACGAGAAGCGATTTTCACTTGAGGCTACATTTGAGATCTATAACCTCAAGTGGAAATTTGACATCAAAGTAGGCGAAAACTTGATCAGAATATTATACTTACTGTGTCTTTCTACTGATAAGACATTGTTGTAGAGTTTTTACAATTGTAGCTATCGTTAAAGAATATATCATTTATCCTTTACTCACTTTCATCCAGACAGCTCCTTCCTGGTCATTTTCAGCAGAGCCGCTTCCGCAAACTTCTCGCAGAGCGCACTCGTACTGATCGCAACACGAACCAGGTTCACCATTCTGGGCTGATTTTAATAATTTCAGCTTCAAAGGCGCTTTGCAATGTGATATATCGTTCGAACAGGGTTTACATGCACATCGAGTCGTGTTTCCACCGTCCGACACCTGGATAAAAGACAAATATTTAAAAAAATCAGGTTGCAATAAAAATTATGCATTAATGGAAACTATATTAATTTATAAATTGTTATTTCTGTCTTACTGATACATATGTAAAAAATGCACTAAATAACACATTTTTATTATTATTTATCTATCCTAATATAATAGTAACAAACAAAATTTTTTTACAAGCAAAAGAATCGAAAATAGATTTTAAAAATACAAAATCCTTTGACTAATGTCAGTGATTTAGAGATTGATGCAATTTAATATGTAATGAACTTTGAAAGACATAGAGGTTATATTTGTAATTTGAGGCTGTTCCCCAGGTAACAAAGTCATGATTATTTTTGCTATACATGTCGCAATGATAATTTTTTCCCCCGCATATAAAACTTCATATCCCAGTTGGTTTAAAACAAAAATAAGTTTTTTGCCAGTGCAGAATAAAATTTCATGTAGAATTAATTAAAAGAGTACCTGGTAACTGTCAGGCGGGCACGTGTGCATGGACTCATTAGAGGGACACACACCGCCGGCACATGGATCGTCCCCTTGCATTTCCTCCGCTGATTCTGCAATCGTTGTTGCATCTGAAATGGGAGGATTTTAATTAGAATTTGAATAAAAACATGGAATGGAACTGTAGGTTTTTCAATTTGGATAGGACATATTCATTAACTCGTCTTGTTTTAAATAAAAAAACAACGTATGGCTAGGCATGCTTTAGAATGTATGACTATATTTTTTAAATCACTAAATTCGTGGATCTCACCTCCTCTCTAACCTTGCTCAGAGGATTTTGAAATTTTAAAGTTATTTTATTTTAAATCGTACAGAGTTATTTGTATCTTTTAGGACAGGTGTAAAAATCATTTTAAAATAATAAATAAAATCATGAGTCTATTCCCAGATGATACACATATTACGTCAAGTTCACACTAACTTCATTCAAATGAGAAGTTTAATACCCATTCCAGGTGACATGTTTTATCTTAGGGAGAAGTCCCGTAACGCCGGGCGGCACCTAACGCCGGACACTCTAACACGTATTATTTAAGCGAGTTTAAATCTTTTTATTTCAAAATACAAGTGAAAGAGCCGTGGAGGGCACACAGGTGCATGATCACGCGCCAAGATTCACCTGTGACGTACACGGCCACGGAGGGAGCAACCCTTTGCTGTTTTAGGCACAAATATCTAAGAATATTCGTCAAACACACATGTTCAGACATTCCAGAGTGTGGAGATAGCTACATATGTGTTCAAAGCTGGTTATTTTGAATTGTCCGGTACTAGGCGCCACTTTGTAAAATCATATTTTTTGTTACCAAAGTTTGATTGATAGTATTTATTATTTGTTAGCAAAGATTGCGTTTTTGTTAATTTAGTTTTATTTCTAACTTTGTTATCTAACATAAGTCATAATCTAATAAACATTTTGTAAAACATTTTTTGATTTATTTATAAATAACCTTAAGTGTCCGGCACTAGGAGACTTTCCTCTATATGTCAACATGAAGTAATTATAAAACAGATATCATATTAATGAAAATAATGTCCTTTATTTTGTACAATATTTTGTTAATATACTCAATGTTACTAGATGTTATAACAATTATTAAAATTTAAAAAAAATTTCAACATGAAAACTGGTGCTAAAAAGAACTAATGTTCATTATATACTAAAAAGAACTAATGTTTATTATATATTTTATATAATTGACGTTTGTGTTTTTCACTTGCTATTAGGAAGTTAGTTTTAAGCCATTAAGAGGCCAATACTCGAATAAAATAGAAATTTACGGTACGGGTCTATATTCGTATAAATTGGTAGTAACAAACTATCAAAAAGTAAAGTGAAGTGTGTGTTATCAGAGAGACATCAGAAATTTGCACCCATGATAAAATTATTGCGTTTTGTAGGTAAGGTTTCATGTGTAAAACGGATGATCGCACAGCAAATACATAGATTTTTGGCAGTTTATTACTAACAACTCATACGAATATAGACCCATAACATAGCATTACTATAAATCATACGAATATATACCCATAACATAGCATTACTATAACATACCTATTTCATTCGAGATATGACCTATTTTATCCGAGAGTATTTTATTAAATACATCCTGAAAAGTAAAAATTACCTTTATGCCAACAATCTAAACGAGGTAGAGACTCGTGCAGTGTCTAGACTTTTCTAAATTCAACTGTGAAGTTTTTACTAATTGTACTTAATTCTTTACATATAATTTCATTAACCTTTCACCAGTTATCGAAATATTTTTCCTTCACCATGATCATAATCTTATGTTTCCATTCTATATAATATTCAATTATACACTTTAACAAGATTTATGCGGTACGTGCCCCGCAGTGTGTAATATTTCGAAATCTTCCATAAGGCCTCGCAATTTGCGCAGTCTGTGACGGTGTTAATAAAAATAATATTTTGTCACCTAATATAAACAGAAATGCCAGCACTTACTTTGTTGCTCGTGATAAAAGACGACGCTTTTAGTCCTAGGCGCTAATGCAGACATTAGAAGAAAAATATTATTGCCGAATGCGAAAAAGCAATTTGCAGGGAGAGATTAATAAAGGACATATATTCAGAGTAAATATATCATACTTATCCTGATATAATTGAATTAATGTAGGCTGACGATAGGTACTCAAACGCAAATTCGTGCAAAATATTTATAATGTAATAATAAAATTAAAATTCTGGAATTTCAGTACATAGTTCCTTTAAATTTCCTTTATTTGGTCAGCTTAAAGAAATTGTTCCGCAATGTCATCAACATTTTCCCGTAACTCCTTACAGGATAATTCAGCGCGTTAATTCTAGTCACGGAGTCCTTATTCGACCTCAACACTGGCAAACAGCGAATTCAAACATTAACTAGAGATGAGAATAAGGATAGTTTTTATATCATTTTTAAAATTTAGTAGATATTTATTGTTAAATGTTGTCATTAAATATTTTACATAATCGATAGAAGATTTGGAATTCCGAACCTAACCATTTGAAAAATTTGTTAATTATACATGTATGATTTAAATTTTGGTTGGGCTGGTTAACTTGGTTCTGCGATTTGTATATTTGAATAGTTATTTACCTTAATTGTCCTTAAAAAAAGAGTGCGCGTAAGGTTCACATGCGATTGAAGTTAAACTTATTTGCTACTGTACAAGATAGCATTTAAGTATAAAAATAAATATATCATATAACAATTTTGAATAATGTTTATTAGTAATATGGTAACACTTGTGATGTACATATTTATTAGTGTCAGCCATTATACACATTAATATAATGATAAATTTATAAATTATATATTTATAATAGCATTAAAAATATTTATAATATTTAAAAACAATAATGTAATTAAAGTCAAATATGACATGATCGGTTTGTCATTGTAATTAGCATTTAGAAATGAACCTTTATAGAGAAATGAAGTAATTGCTGATTAATAACTTCTATAATATTCGTTCACACAGTGGATTATGTTAAACAACCCCTAAACAAATATTGTTTTCGCAACTTCACTCTTCATGTAAAAATTGTGTTTGAAGAACTTCATGTAATTAAAATTAACATACATTCATTGACTGATGGTATTTTTTTTACTTTTTCGCTGGCGATATAATCTCATTCTTTGAACAGCTGTAATATCTGTTTTGCCTAAAAAATATTTTCCATTTCAACTTCAATGATTTGTAGAAACTACGAATAATATAGAAATAATTTCTAATAAATAAACTTACTAATCATCAATCTTATCAATCAATATTTTAAAGGAACAGGGTAAAATATTCTTCTGATTCAGGAATTTTTTATTAAATCAAGATTCGATGTAACTTTAAAATGTTTATTTATCTATGCCGATTTCCTTGTTGATAACGGTACGCATACAACGTTGACGCCGGTACGCATACAACGACAGATTTCTATTCACATACGCGACGACTAATCACAATCGACCCGTATAGAAATGATATCATCGAGAGCTAATGACGAATCATTGACACTCGACTCTTATCTTATCTTATCTGCCGTAACGCACTTCCGTTGCATTTGTACGGATTTACACATTAGTCGCGCCTAAAGAAGTTTTACTTCAAAAATCTTACACATCACCCTGTTTCAGCTCGACGTTAAGTTCTTAAGACACCCCGTATAAGAAATAATAATATTTATATATAAAGTAAGAATCCATTATGTTGTAGAGTCCACCCCCTCTGAGTACTTCAAAATAAAGATTGAGTAGTTTTTTCTCATATCGAAATCGACCAAAGAATCCTTTCTCCCATCACCTATTATATCTTCCATCGCACTACGGCTAAGGCTAATGGTCAGTTTTAGTTGTACCGAGCTTGCAGATTAAGATTTATCTAGTGCCCGTTGGATGACCCTTGCCACTTGACAAGGAGTTACTTGAAAGGGTCCCTACACTACGTGAATTGTGCCAGTCCACTTATTGGACTACGGCGGCGATGGTGGTGGCGGTGAATGGCAGATGGATTTAATCCAATTTGGGATGAATTATTTCTGGGGACAATCAGGGGTAAAAGAAATATATATTAATTTAATTTTCTGTTGGCGTGGAAGGATTTGGAGTAATATATTGGGTAATGGATTTTTTGAGATACATATGTTAATAACAAACACTCTTATTATTTGTTTACTAAGAAGCTAAAAGAGCCTAAAACAGATCATAAAGTTTGTCCAGAATTTTATGAATATTATTATTATATTTTATCTTCGTATATATAAAAATGAATCGCAAAATATGTTGGTAAGCGCACAACTCAACAACGCCTGGACCAATTTGGCCAATTCTTTTTTTAAAATATTCGTTAAAGTCCAAGGATGTATATTACGGCGAGAAAAAATCGAATAATTGCCGGAGAAACCCTAGAAACAGCCCTTTTCTTTTTCTCAAACAAACGTTTTCTAACTATAACGTAGAATCAATTTGAACTTTATTGCTATTATATAAAATTCATATTAAATTACAAGCACTCAATGTATACTTCTTATAAACGATTATTCGGATTTTGATAAATCTTTCTGAAGTTTGCTAAGAAAATTTTCTATGATGTATGTGATTATAAAGTACTGGGATGTATGTGCAATATTGCAGAAATAAATAAAAAAAAAATGCAAAAAACGACATGTAATTGTTTGCATTGAAAACAAATGAAAACTATCATCCGCCAAAAATTTCAATTTACTTATGAACCTAGACAATATTAGAATATGTATAATAAATTTATGATTATGATTAAGCAAAATGAAATGTCTACATTATTATTGCCAAAAAGCAGCTGAGATAAGCCAGAAATTAAAATAATATGAAATACAGTATATGTATGGCAGATTAAATAACAGATATGATAAATTAATTAACTTAAAATATGAAATTAAGTATTAATCAGGGCCGGATCTATCTTTAATGCGATGCACGCGAAAAATACGAGCGCACGCCTTAGGGGGCGCCAACACAAGATTCGGATTTTAAATTTTCAATATAGTGTTTTTTTCAATATAGAATTTCTTTGCATCTTTTACTAATCT